ATTATTATTATTATTATTATTATTATTATTATTATTATTATTATTATTATTACTAGAAAGTTGTGATTTTACGGGTATGTCCCCTGCTCAGTTGGGACCCAGAAAAATTAAATGCAGCCACCCTTGCGCTTGGGTATCACGCACGGTCTCCTTCAAAATTTTGGCGGGAAAATTATTGCCTAGAGTAAAGTAAAGGCTAGGAAGTCGAAAGTTAACGAAAATGTTACCTATTCACGTACAATCACGTGATTTCAAGGCCTGGGCCCCAGTTACACATCCGTGAAAGTCTCGGCAGGAAAATTTGCTGCCTTGAAAATCGTAGAAGATAGAAAGCTGAAATTTTGGGAGAATTTCTCTTGTCCACATACGATCTGTAGAATCAAACTCAGCCTTCGCGTACGCTTGGGTATCATGCGCAGCCCCACGAAGGTTTTAGTTGGGAAAATTATTATCTTGAGAACCAAAAAAGCTCTGAGGCTGAAATGTCAGGAATGTGTTTTCTGCCTGCGCAAATACCTCACAAACTCAAATTTAGCTCCCAAGCATGCCGAGGTCCTACGTACGCTCACGCGAGAGTTTCGATGCGAAAGTCACAAGTTCGGAAGTTGGAAAATTGAGAGGTTGAAACTGGGAGGATGTTCTCCATTCAAGGTTTCAAATTCAGCATTGACGTAACACTTATATTTTTAGCAGGAAAACGTCGACGAGACTGACCTGCGCAAAACGCGTGATCGCACCAACTACTCTGGTTTTTTTAAATATATGTTGTAAATAACTGTGTAATGTCAGTGTATTAGCAACAAAGTTAGATTGACTCATTGAGGGAGTTCCGAAACTGCTCCGATATATACGAGGAAGCAGGGTGACAGATGAAGAACAGGACTGCTTGCCTGTCATTAAAAATTATTGTAGCTAGGTAGTCACTAATCACCTGTATAACATCATTGAGATCATTGACGTAGGAACGTTCCGTTTCCAGTAGCTCCATTGCAATTCGATCCAACTGGGACACTGTGCCACTGCTTACCAGTTTCAGGCGTCGTACTTCTGACAATGACGTTTCTCTCCTGAAAATTGCTTTCTGCAGCTTTCGGTCATGTAAAAAACGGTCCACACCAACAGATCCAAAATCAAAAGTCAGGTAGTGAAGCAACAGGTTTGCTGGTGCAATTCATGCGTTTTAGCGCTAAACTTGAAACAGTCAGATCGTTACAAGTAGAGTTGCTGCATTACGTTTTAACACGTGGACTCATGTTGGGTGTGTTTTGGCCTTTTCTTGCATCAGGGGAAAAGGAGCTAGTAAAACGGTGATGTCGTATCATGAGAACGCGTGAAATCTGAAACTCCAGCATTCATGTTTACCGTAAATTTTACACGAATAGGAATGAACAATTTCCTTTTCTTGTAGGTTGTTCATTGAAAAATGCAAAATTTAACAATGAAGAGAATGTCGAAAGTGAAGGATGACGAAATCCGCAAAATGCAGTCGCTTTTGAGATTGCGATAAAACTCAGTGTTCGTGGTTTGACTACACGTGAATACAAAATATCCTTGCAAAGTTTCAATTTCGCAGCTTGTACATTTTGCTACAAACATATCTGATGTGCTCTAACATAACGCAAATGCAAACCAAAATTTGATTTAGGTATACGATTACCCAGATGGACGATAAACGTTCAAGCAAAATTATAGCCATATTTCCAGGCTAGCCTTCCAGTTTGAGCGATACCAACTTATAAACTTTGACGTGATCGTACGCATGATGCAAGTGTGCAGGACGATGGGTTTGAAATCTCTGGCTTACACATGAACAGAGAATAGCCCTGCAAAGTCCCGGCTTCCTAAGTTCACGATTCCCGCTAAAAAAAAATAATATGTTTCTTTGGCGCGTTCATACGTAACATCTAGGCGAGCATGAGCTATGTTTTTAAAAGTTTTGAGCTGAATAAAAGATACATACACAGAAATAACAAATATGGACTAGTCAAAATGCATTTCAGGAATAATCATTCAAGCGCATATAAACATAAAAACGAACGCTAGTAGCTTTCTGCCAATAAAGATGTCGTTAGATGAAGAATGACCAGCGTTCAGTGGTGAATCGTCACTAATTTCTGAACTTCTCAAGCTGCTTCGAGCAGAACTGTAGCCAGTCGATGAACTTACAAAACTCAGCCGTAATGCCGCTTCCTGAAGAACATACACCCGGTACAGAAGCTACAGACAAATGGAGCATCATTTTAGAAAATATCTGCTACTTTTCAGGTATTCGTGAAGTCACAACTGACCGTAAGTTACAATAATGCAAAATCCCTGCAACAAGTGTAAATAGAACAGCGCCTGAAAGCAGCTGAATTCGGGAGATAGGGCTGTGAAAAGGGAAAGGGAGAGCTGAGGAAAAGGAAGAGATAGAAAGATGAAGAAACGAAAGTAACAACTCCGCTTTAACCCCCATTCTGAAGCACGTCAAAACTTTCACGGCATTAGCCAGTGAGGTGCAGAATTCAACTAGGAGCGAAATTTAACCAGTATCCAGGAGAAGCGGAATTAAAAATTAGCTAGGAACTGCCCAACTGCATTGAAGTGTGTAAAGTGGTCTAATGACCAAACATTCAAATGCAAGCAAATGCATCCAAACATTGGTCAAAAGG